AAAAAAAAAAAAAAAAAAAAAAAAAAAAAAAAAAGAAATGGCAATTTCTGACGTGTGACATTTTCATTGCTTGAGAACAGATCAGTGCAAAGTGAGGTAACCCCACGGGCTGGCAGGGGCTGTGTCAAACCAGGCGCCGTCTCTTGGAGTCCCTCTCCATCTCCTCGGTGGGAGAGTTTCCATCACAGCCCAGAGGAGACACCAGGTTGAGCAGAGGATCTTCAGAGGCCCCTCCAAACAGGGACAGCAACAAAGCCACGCCGTAGCCAGTAGCTCGTTCACCCTGGAACAAAACCAAACCACACAGTTCACACTTCAGACCGAGCACTGGAATTGGTTTCAGTTTTGCTGCTCACTCAGTGAGAGCTGTGGTGGTCCCTGCTCTGTGCTRCTGAATCCTCACTGCAATCTGACCCAGCTGGATTGAACCAACACACGAGAACAGGGCTCCCACTGAGTGTGGGTGGATGGAGGCCAGCATTGTTCAGGGCAGGGGATCTCCCACCCTGCCTGAGCAWGGATTTGAAGTACAAGATGAATCAACTGTGTTTAAAAAGAGGCAGGTGGAATGAATCGACTTGGTTTTTAGGGAAAAAATAGAATATAAGCAAGTTCCACCAAAGGGAGGAAAGGAAATCCCCAAGAGGGAACGTGGTTTTGGAAGGATGATCAACTCTGGTCAATCATCTTAAAACAGAATGGGTGAAAATGGAAGGCTGGGATTACTGCCAGGAACAGAAAGCAGGCAAGTTGTCAATGCTTACAATGATAAAGATGTCACTGATTAAAGCAACTGTTAGAATATTTTAAAACCGAAATGAAAAATATAAACAGATCAAACTACCAAACCAAGAAACTCACACCACAAACAAGTCAGTGCTTTTCTAAAGGACCTTTCTCCACCTATTTCTGTCACTCTGAACTGGATGGGCACAATCCAGAGCAGCTGCAGGCACAGCAGGTGTTGTCTCCCCAGCCTGTGTGCCCAGGGAGGGGCAGGGACACTCACAGCATGCACAGGAGCAGCGATGTCTATGTGCACCCACACCCCAGGCCAGTCGAAGCCAATGTGAGAGGCAATGAAGAGCCCAGCACAGGAGCTTGGGGTGTTGTCTCGGTCCTGTAGGAGCAATAAAAACAGAGTTGGTCTTGCAAGAAAAGAAAATGTCAATGGTTTATTCTGCCTACAGGAAAGAGTGATGTGAATCTCGTTCAAAGATTAATGAATGGCCCTAACACAGCTTTACAAATCAACTTTGCTGTAAATCCTTGACTTAGTCCCCGGTGTGGTCCTGTTCAATTCCTCTTCTGCCCACAGCCCTCACTGCACAYTGGAGCTCTCAAATGCAGCAAAAGCTGCTGCAGCAATTCTGAGGCCTCCATCCTCAATTTCCTGGTTTCTGCATTCCCAGCGACCATCTTTCCTGGGATGCAGGAATGCCCATCCTGACTTCCTAAGAAGTCTCCCTTCAGGCACTCAGCACTCGTGCAGGGCCATGTTTAAAAGGCAAGCAGCCCAAAGACACCCTTGCAGCAGCCACCCTGTTMAAAACTGACACTAAATGCTGCCTGCAAAGCCCCAGGTGAAAAACCCTGAAGACCAGAACAATATGGCCACAATTTCTAAAAGGTTACAGCCCCCATGAAGAGCTTTCAGCCAGCTATGAGCAGGCCAGCTCATTGTCTAGAAAACACACGCTTTTAAAAAAAAAATCTTACTGCTACAGAGTTCTTCATRTCAGCTACAGCAGAGGTAAATTCACTGAAGTGGAGCTCAGGGCAGTACACCAGAGGATGGACCAAGTCTCCACAGTTCCTGCCAGCTTTAACACAAGCCTTCTCCCACTCTTCRTTATTGGTAAGGACAGCAGCATGGTATTTTCCTGTAGCAATTCCCTGGTGAGGTAAAGGACAAAATCAGGAAGATGTCACCTTCCACCACTGCTCAACAGAACCTTCTATAAAACAGGTACACATGTCAGAAAATAAWGGTGTTAAATTTGTACCCTTGTACCATTCTGTGTTTGACTTAAAATGAAAGCAATTTAATGGACAAGAAAATCCTGATCATTATTAACAGATCAGTTCTGGTAATTGTAAACTGAATTGCAAACATGGAGTACTGACCTGCTTACATCAGCTGCTAATGTCATCAGAACACCATTTTTAATTTAAGCATGCAAAAACAAAAAAGCTGCATAAAGAACAAAAAGGAAACTCAGTTACCAATGTAAGACTGTAATACCTGAGCTCCAGTAAGAGTGGCCATATCCAGAATGATATCAGCCCCAAGGTCTTTGCAGGCGTAAGCGACTCCATCAGCCAGGATCAGGCGACCTTCTGCATCAGTGTTATTGATTTCCACAGTTCTGCGAGGAGGAGAGGGCATTTCAGACAGAAATGTTTCAGGCTGGGGGTCAGGATTCACTTTTCTGGTCTAGAATACTTCAGAGAGCTGCCTCAACCCCCATGTGCTTTCCTTATTTGACTCTGCAAGCCAGTAGGGTGCTACTCCTCAGCTCCAAGCATCCAGAGTGAGCACACAAGGAAAGGGAGATCTCAGTTCTGCCCTCATGCAGGCTCTGATTGCTGGGCCTGTGTGTGATGCCTTGCTGGGATTCTATAAATTACTGCCAAAAAGGTAACATCCCTCCTTATCAGAGATTCTCATCCAATGGTCGCCTGTCTTTGCTGCTTTGCTAAACAATGCAGCTTCAGATGGACACAGAAAACGGGTGGTACTACAAAAACTACCTAAATTGAGTGCTTTAAGGGAAGTTCAGCYCATGTATGTGTGTGTTTTCATGTGTATTTACAAAACCAACAGGAAACTCTGAGCACATGTAAAACTCACTACTATGGATGTCTGAAATACTATTATCAATATTTAGGGAAGCTGATTTAGGGACAGCTTCACAATCTGCATGGCTCTCAGATAAACAGAAAATGGTGTTTGCTCTGTTTCTGGGAAAAGGACAGATACAATCTTACTTTCCAGAGTAAAGAACATGAATGTCATCAGGTCTTGTTGCACATGGTCCCACTGCGTTCTCGGCCAGACAAAAAACAGCATGAAGATTGTCCTTAAACCCCTGTAACAACCAGAGAAATGGCTTTTGATTCACATCAAGCTAATTTATTGGGACTGAAATCAGTGATGGATTAGGACTTCTTGACAGCAACAAATGTCATAGGAAATCTGCTGGGATTTTTGGAGAGGTGGGTGGGTGTTAGATGGGTTTTTTTAAATCTATCATTCCTGCTGGGAGGCACACAGCATTTTTAACCTGTTTTGGTTTTTTGTTCCCTTAGCCTCCTCACTTCTGGTATATCTCATAATGTTTTATTTTGGTTTAAAGTCAAGTGCTTATGTGGTTATGGATGATATTTTAAAATGGATGATGATTCTGTTATTTATACAGCAGTTGTATTGTGTRGAGGGATTCTAGGAACAGACAGGGAGACAGAAGCATTTAATAATAAAAAAACATAGCTCCTCCTTAACTGGGACAGTTAACCTTGACAACATCAAATTCTGGGGGAAAACCTGGGCCAGTTTTACTCTTAATCTCTTGATAAAAGTCCGTGGCTGGAGAAATCTGGGCTTGCTGAATCAGCTCATGTTCTGAAGTCTAAAGGGCAAAGGCATCAATCAAAACCTTTCAAAATAACAGGCAGCATTTACAAGACAGAAAGCAACTGGTGAGCTTCTGCTCCAGCTGGTGGGCAAACAGCAGTGCTGAGGAGACAACCTTGCTCAAGCCATAGCCCAAATATTCACAGTATCTCACTGCACTGCACTGGATTTTTCTCCTCCATGTTGTTAATCTACTGTCAAAAAGTGAAAATCTGTTTCCAGTATCAGTTGCCTTTTCCTGAATCTCTTTGTGTCTGCAGGTCCTCATGTTAACAAGAAAAAATTTGAAAATTTTAGTCAAYGTTTTTCTCTTCTCCTTCGTGCTGGAAAACTCACAATGGAGKAAATGCATCTTTCTAGGAAAAATCACTTGTTTGATTTTGCCACCCAAAGCCTTATAAATCCACACTGTGTAATTGTTGAACAGCATGCAGGCAGGCATTTTATGAASATGGAAAATAACCTCTGCCCCTCTTCCCACTGAGCTTTCAATCCAACATGTTTCCCACCTCAGTCTCTGTGACAAAGCATAGCTCAGGTGAAACCTCTTCCACCTTTCTTTTTTCTTAAAAACATTTAAAAAAAAAGTCTTGAAACATAACAACAAATTCTTCCCACTGCCACTCTGAACACGCTTTCTTCAGGGATGTCATTTACAGGTCTTCTCACATGAGACTGTAAAATTMAGGAGTGAGCTCATTCTTTTGTTTTTACATATAAAGGCATATAAAGATTTCTCCAGGCTCAGTTTGTCCAAACATATCACWGCCAGTGTATTCACTGCTGCACTAATTGTGGATGAACTGACAGATCACTTGTGCTCACATCTGCTCTGACTGTGAATGCAACTTCTCTCAGTGCAGACAGACACAAAACCACTCTGGAAACAAGGACTGAGTCACTGAAAGGGTGTCCCCCACCCATGGYATTCCCAGAGCCTCCCAAAGCATCATCTAAGTTCCAGCTCTGTCTCTTGCAGACTTCTGATCTAACTTGCTGAAGGATTTAGTTATGCAAGGTAGTTGTTCTGCCTGAGATGCAGCTCACAAATCTGTTTTCAATTTTAATTCTCAGCAGATAACTGGGAGGTTTACAATCTTTCCACATCAAACATGCTGCTAGGGCCAAGGCACAGAGCTAGACTATTGAGAAATGGGAATTTGGCACTGATCAGCCCYTGGACAAAGCATCCATCAGATCTATGCATTAATCTGCAGCAGTAAATATTCTTTGAACTTTGGATACTCCTTGGAGGCAATAGCTGCTCTGTCAGCAAGACTCAGTCACTGGATTTGTGGGGAGGGCASAGTTTTATTGGCAGCAGCCACTTTTCCCCAGTTCATATTGTTAAAGTGCAATAGGAATATTTTTAATTCTTYGTATTTCAATACCTGGCTTCTTCTCAGCTCCCCCACTACTTTCTGACCACAGAAACAAACCAGAACCTGAGGAGACAAGAGCTGCCATTTCCCCACTAGGTTAATATTAGACCTGGCACAGGATTTGGAATATGGAGACTTCATATCCCAGTCACTCATCCCCTTCTTTGCTAAGGTGACAACAGCTGCCCCAAATCCCACAGCTTAAACAAAATCAGCACTGGATAACTCAAGTATAGACCTGATTCAAGGAACTAGAAACCACTCAGCCCACAGAACAAACTCTGAAATTCAAGGAAGACCCTAAAAAAAAAAATCAGCACTCAAGGAATTTCTCACAATTCTCAAGATCCCAGTAAAGATGTGAAATATTTTCCTGAAATAGCAGAAAGAGCAGAGTGGCTCAAGCTCACTAACACTGTGGCAGGTCAGAGCTTCAGGATTAGACAGGCCTCTGTCTCTGGGAATATATCCAAGCTCCTTGGCAGGGCTAGGATACATGATATCAATTAACACATTTTACTTACTTGCTTTACAGTGGCTTTGAAGGCACCCAAAATAGCAGCTGCTCCACCACAGTCCCGTTTCATTCCAGGCATAGTAGTCTGTTTAAACAGAACCATTGATTTTTTTTTATTATTTTTAAAAGAGAATTTCACTGTAATGACTGCTAGAACTTGTATTTCTGATGGTTCTGAGACTGATTTTGACAGTGCTCAGCTATCAACAACACAAACATGGATCAGGAGCCTCTGCTTATTGGAGGATCTGTCTTGGAACTGAAAAATACTAAACCTGCTGCTAAACTGTTAGAAAAGTAAAAAGCAAAATGTTGTTTCTAAGTTTCACACTGAGGCCAACTCCAATGGGTTTTGGTTCTATCTTTGAAAACAGAAACTAAATATCTTTGTTCCTACTTTCTGCCTTTCAGCAGGCAGTATTTAAAGGGCAAAACATCATGTTGCTATTTATTTGTTCTGTAGTGGTYCTTGAATCCCATTTGGTCTTCTCCCCTGATAGTTTGTGTCCATATGGATGACAACAGATCAAGCATTTAACTCAATACAAAGGTGCTTTTGCTTCCCACGGTCATTATCTGAATTACTTTCACCAGAAAACAAYGCTGCAAACACAGGCAGCAGCAGAACAAATGTTTCTGTACCTTTCCCTTAATGCTGAGGCCTCCAGTGTCATACACAATGCCTTTGCCCACCCAGGCAATGGTTTGTGTTGCACCATCTGGAGTGTGACTGAGAACTGCCAGGGCTGGAGGATGCAGAGCTGCCTTTCCAACTCCGTAGATACCTGGAAAACAGAGAATYAAACCATCTGTGGGTATTTCCTGTAAAACATCTTGGAATATTTAATACTTGTAAAACACTCTGGAATACATCTTGGGCAATAAAACAGTTTCAAAAATGTGCAAATGAAAYATTACAATTGAGATGGCAAAACATTCCAATCATCTGCTAGGAAAAAAGTGGAATACTCAACAAGATATACCTCCAAAGCCTCTCTCTTTCAGCTCCTCATCCCGGATAAYGGTAGGAGTAATCCCAAGATCCTTGCCAACTTTTTTGATTTCCTTAATCATTAAAAAAAAAAGACCTTGTCAGTGAGTCATCAGAACACATTTGTTCCTTTCTACACCAATGGGAACCCAATTAAGGGGTTTGGGTGATTTTTGCATGCATACACATGCAAACATTGACAATTCTGGGAGTGCTGCTGCTTTTTCAATGGCCTAATTCCACTGAGCCATCCTTCACTTCCCATGGCATGAAATATAAATTTGACCTTTAAGCTCTGCCAGTAAAAGAAATCTTCAGAGGTAAAGGACAACTGTTCACTCTATTGGATCATGATGTAATAGAACAGGAATAATTTAATTCTCAACAGCTTTCCAGATGTTTATCATAAAGCTTATTTGGAAATGTGTCAACTGTCCCATAATTTCATTCAGTTACTCTGGTCAACATCAGKTTTAAGACAAGAATCCAGTGCCATGACCAAATGAAGAATTCATGTTTTCAGCTTCCCAGTGCCCTAGTCCAAGCTGTGAACTCTGCCTCCTTCCAACTTTGCACAGTTCTACGAAACATTAAAGGCCAAAGGGAGAGCCTGAGCACCCCAGGTTTGGTGTGCTTCCTACACACAGCTTTCACTGAGAGGCAGCAGCACTGGGGTTTGATTAGTGCAGTCTGGAGTCCCAATTAGCAACCCTTTCTCATCAGCACCCACCTCCAGGAAGGTATCRGTGTTCATCTCATTGCAGGGCGTGTCCACGATGCGCGCAGCCAGCCGGACCCCTTCGGTGGCACTGGCCAGGCACTGCGGGCACAAGGGAGGACACTGAGCAGGGMCAGGGCTTTGGCACAGCTTTGCTTTTACCCCTCTGCAGCCAACACCAGSTGTGTGGTTCCTCTGGAACGTGTTAATGCTTAACTGCCAGCAGCACAGGCCCTGCACAGTTAAACAGTGCCAGCCAAGCTAACCAGCACTTTCTGTATGCATCCAACTTAATGTTCCATGCGCTCCAAATTCTTACCAACAGCATTTCCTTTCCCCAGCAAACTGGTATTGCAAAATTAATATCCTTCTCCACTATCATAGGGAGACCAAGAAGGCAAAGTGAGGTGGAGGGAAGAAAGATAAGAGGCAGCTAATTCAGGAAGTCACAATGAGCTTATGGGCTGCTGGGGTTGGAAACCTGCATTGATTGTGTAATCTGCAACACGGGAAACTGCAGTTTGTACAGGGCAGGCACAGGGGCTGAGGGCAATAAAGATTACTGCTGTGAGACATGCTTTATGGCAGGCCCACAGGGAAACTGGAATATTTCATGTTTGTGTAAAACATGCACTGTTTCTTGATTTCTGTGGCAAAATGGACTGACCCTCACCTGGAATGAGTAAAAACTTATCTATGCAAGAGTGGACAGAATTAAAATGGTCAAGCAGTCAAGGCTGTTTCCTTACAGAAGGATCCTCCTGGCAAGAGAAAGGACCATGAAGACACCAGACACTAACCTTGAACTTTTAACTCCCATGAATTAACAACCTGAAGCTGTAAGACCTGGGGAAGGAAACTTTGTGCGAGCTTTCCAGCAGCCACACTACACTGAGGACCACACACAGCACATGGGTGAGTCAAGATGGCTTTCACAGGAATCTGAGGTGTTGGACACTCACTCGTGCTGAGGCATCTGGAGTTTGGCTTGGCTAGACCAAGGACTCCACACTTTTTGTATCCCATCACACTCCTAAAACTTGGCTTGCTTTGGAATGGTGCCCAATTCCCTGCAATTACTTCTGATTCCTTTACTGTCCCTAAAGGGATAAGAACCTCCTGAGGAACCGAGCTCTGTCTGGAGTGATTCCCTGTTAGGGCCATGCAGGTGAAAGGAGGTGMTCTAAACCCAAGGCCAAGCCCTGTGGGAGCACCATAACTTAGAGAAATAAGCTGTGCCTGTGTTTGTGTTTCCAGAGTGCTCCAGAGAACTTGGATGATGGCAGCCTTTAAGAAGTGCCTGTAAAACTCTGACAATCCCTGCTAGTTCTCACCATAAAATAGCCTGGACAATGCAGTAGTAGGTGTAAAATACAGCATGCCAAGGGAGAGGTTTAGATAAAAATGTCYTACCACATGCCTCTTCCATGCTCTGCATTAGCTGTCTGGTGCTGGTTGAATTTAAGGGGTGCAAACTCAGCTYGGAGGAAGCCAATAATATTTTTGGCATTGACATCAAGGGGAAGAACAGGAGGTAGAAATAATTGCAGCTTTGTTTTCAAGTTAAAAATAACCCAAGTGGTTTGGAATCTACCTATCTGAAGGAAATATTTTTGACACCAGCTATGCTTTTTCTGATTTGGGGCATGGAAAAACAGGGTGATCAAGAGTTGTACTCTCAGCACGCTTGTCTTTGCCACTTTGCTGAAAACTGGGCTGGCACCCTTTTCTGGGGCCAAATCAGTTCACAGAGTAAGGACCAAGCACAGAGGGAAACACACAGAAGAAAAACAGACCCTAGAGTTGCAATTCTGTGAATTTCAAATGCAGCAACACCATATCCTTTGTCAAATGCACTGCCAAAACTTTTACGGGATTTCTATWACCTCACTCATTGATCTAAAGGAGTGTCCATCTGTACTGAAGCACAGAACAGAGCAGTGAACAGGGATTTCCCTAACGGATTAACTGCAAACCTTGCAATAGCTTTTAAGTTCATGGATCTTGAAGAATAACCTGGCATGCCAACAGTTACCTGATAGGGAGTTTCCTCTCTGTAACAGTYAAATAAGGGAAACAGTCTTTGATTTTCTGCCATTGAAAGATGACTTAGATGTATTTCACTGTCATGCGTAGCTCTCTCCAAGCTGTTTTGTTTCTCAGGGTCTTGTTTCTGGCTACAGTTCTGCCAGAAAAACTCAGCCAAAGAGGTACATCAGACAGAAATAGCAGAGGCCATATGTGATCCCTGTTAAGCAACTCTGAGTGACTTCACCATGGTATCACCTGCACAGTTACAGACAGCTYTTGCCTGGGTAGGAAAAAGTGAGAAGCCCACACACCAAAGGCAATGTAATAATAAAGGCTAAAAACACAGTTTGCATCTGTCATACACAYGAGAGAGAAGATATTTTGTTTGTGCTGTTTGTTCAGTGTTTTCCACCCCTGAAATCCAAATTCTGAATCACATCTTCAGCCTTTGCTGCAGTAATATGYACAGTATTTCTACTCAGAGATGCCATGATCAAGGAACCTCGAGCTAAGATAATTCCAGGTTTAGCTTGAGACAGATGTGTTTGTGCACGCAACCAACTGAAGGAAAAGATGACAGAAACCCCTCCCAGAATCTTACTTTAAGTGTTGCCACTTCTATAGGTCCGTTGTTTTGGCCAACCAGAAAAAACTCCACAGTCACAGTTTTCTTCTCRGTGCGTCTGGAGGCGCTGGAGCGGTGTGTGAACAGGGGGAAGGCCCTGGCCAGGGCACACGCGGAGGCGAAGACTTCAGAACGCTCACACACCATCTGAAAGAGCAGCCAGCAGCAAAACACATCACACAACACCACCAGGGTGTGGAGGGCTGCACTTAAAAAGATCTGGTACCTGGGGTATTATTGGGGAAGAGGGGGAAAAAAGGAGGTGGGTGGGAAATAACAGAGGCCTGAGTCAAGACAAGCTCGTTTGTGATGTTATGCATGGATGGASAGGCAGCGTGAAAGTACCATAGTGAGCAGGTCCAGTTCATTTCCTGTGTGAAAATGAATTACACTGCTGGACTGTGTGGGAATTAGTTCATCCTTACAAGGCAGCTGGACTGCTTTAATTATACCAGTGCAATTAACACAGGTTAGCCGACAGATCAGGACCAAAAAAAGCACGGGAATCACCAATTTGTGCTCAAAATGAAACAAAGACAAAAACTACATGAGAATGTGAAGGCAGAAATTATATGAGAATGTGGCTAATACTAACCCAAAAGGTTGTTAACATGTAGATTATTTTTCTGAAGTTCTTTACAGAAATTACCAATAGAAAGCAGTTTCAGTTAAACATTTTCAAAGGGTAAAAATTAAGTAGTTATTGCTCTTGCAARTAAGTTTTCCAAGTGAAGAGTATAATTTAATTTCTTCATTGACACTGACTGTATTGGTCTTCTCCAACAAGCCACAAATCTGATACAATCTGGAGAAGCCATAGAAACAAATAAATTCACCAGGCTCATACAGAAGATGACCAAAGCAATCCAAGAGCTTGTCCTGTAAAGGACTCACCCTGGAGCATTATTTGGATCAAGAATTTTAAAACTCACTGAACAACACAAGCAAASCACCTTTCWTGTGATATAGACATAACAGCCTTCRTGCAGGCTACCTCAATCTCCTMAAGTGTGTGTTAACATCCCAAATCCTAGCTTGGAGAAAGCCATAATGGTTCCTTGAGCATGGGCATTCCTGGTTGAAGATGCTCCTTACATATCCAGCCTCAATTCCCATGCACAAGCCACTACAGTCAGGTCTTGCCTACATGTCAGTGCAAAACCGCTCATGTCCGTATAATTATATCAGTAAAACTTGTCCACTTCCAGTCTCCTTGGAGACAGCTACAACCCRGAAAAGTCGAGAAAACACTCACTAGACATTTCACCAGAGCCACTTACAACAATGCATCTGTTGACTCCTCCTGGCAGGCAGTTCCTGACCAGGCGGGTGATGAACTGCGCTGCGGACGGGCTGTTGTGCCGGCTGACCCTGGACGGCAGCGCGGCCACCGTGGCATAGTTCAGGTACAGGGGACAGCTGTCCGTGGGGTTGGGATTCAGAGTGCTCAGAGCAGACTGCCAGACCTGGGGAGAAACCAAGCATTTAAAGATAAAGAACTGTGCCAGACTTTCCTTCCCACCTCACTCCTGCTGTATTTAGGTACTTTTTAATGACAGGGGTTTAGGTGTTGGAAACAAAGAAATTGTGCACAACAGCCTCTGGAGTGAAAAGAACCAGGAAATTTGACAAACCTGTTCATTAAGCAGAAAATATAAACGTACTTTCCATTACAAGCATCTCCTTCAAGCCGTATGAATAATAATTTAAAACCACACTGTTTAGTGCATGGTTCAGAGCTTTCTGAAGTTGAGACAGTTTTCCTAGTGATAAATAGGAGGACTGATTTACTAGCTCTGAATTATTTTTTCACATAGCAATTTAATTAAAAACAAATAAAACCAAGAAGGGTAAATATTGTCATAAGAGACTGGGGAGCCCTGTATAAAAACCCCTGCCAAACATCCAGCGACCTAAAAGCCGCAATGCAAAACGTTTATCATTCTACCACAAGCCATCACCACCACTAAACAAACAGGTCCGCAGCTCCCACCGCAGTGGCTGCGGGAGAGGAGGGGGCTCTGAGCGCTCGCTGCAGCCGCCCCCCGTCCCCTCAGAGAGGGCAAAGCGCCTTCCCCGCGCCGGGGTGGGCACACACGGGCTGCGGGAGCGGCCCCAACGCAGCAACAGGCTCGGCCCGGTCCCCCCGGCACTCGGAGCCGGGCCCAGGGCCGCGCAGCCCCCGTGGGTCGGGTCGGATCGGGTCGGGCCGCACCACGAGGCCGGGCGGACACGCGGCGCTGAGGGGGCCCCGCGGGCGCTGAGGGGGCGCGGACCCGCGGCGCGGCCTCACCTCCTCGGTGACCCGCGGCTGCAGCTTCCCCCGCAGCTGCGCCCAGGGCAGGCGGTGCAGGTTGTGCAGCTGCCCCAGCACGAGCAGCGGGCGGCTCTGCGGGTCCGCCTCGCCCGCGCTGGCCTGGAACTCCAGCTGCACGTTCGCCATCTTCCTGCCCGGCCCGGCCGCGCCGCCCCGCCCCGGGCCCGGCCCCGGCTCCGCGGGGCGGGGACGCGCCGGTGTCGCGGGAGCGCCGGGCACGGCCCCGGGCACTGCCAGAGCGGGATCCCGGGCACGGCGCTGAGCCTACAGCGCTTGCCGAGCGCCTGTTTTCACTGCACGTTTAAATGGTGGGTCGGTGTTTATTCGGATCTTTCTGTAGTAGCCAAGCGCCTCAATTCTGGTCAGTGGACACTTATCAGAATAGGCCGATTTGGAAGGAACCCGCAGAGATCATCGAGTCCAATTCCTGCACAGACACCCCCAACAATCGCACTCTGTCCCTGAGAGCATTGTCCAAACGCCCCATGAGCTCACACAGRTTTGGGGCTGTGACCATTCCCTGCGGAACCTGATGCTCATTGATCTGCAGCCAGGAAAGCCGGGAAGGTCTGCGCAACCTTCCACTCTTGCGGGAAAAGTGAATGATGAAGCATACAATGGAAATACACACACAGAAAAGGCTGAATTCCAGGAAAAAAACTTCCTTAGAGTAAGGTCTTGGAAGGGACATCACAGAAACTTTATTGAAAATAAAAGTTGTAGGAACATCTGTTGCAGAGGTTGGTTGTGCATCCTCACAGACGGGACAGTAACTCAATCTACAGGCTCCACCTTTAACGATTCCCTTCACCGAGCCACAAAAAATACACTCGGGAATCCACTGTTATCCCAATACATCAGATCAGCGTGGGAATGAGAAGACGCACAGCAATTACTTCAGGATTGAGACATTCCAAARATTCCTCCAGGCAGTAAGCTCCCAATCACTGAGTTCAAAATATGCTGTTCCTGCTGCTCTGAGAGTCCAAAACCAGCACATTCCCTGAATCCACAGCATCTGAAAAGCAAATAAAACAGTAGGAAACACTCCCCTAACCCGCGATCCTTTTGTTGCAGTTAAGGRCAGCAGAGGAAGGTCCTCATGAAGGGAATGGACTGAGAAAATCAATTTTATCTACAGAAACTCCCTGTGAACGTCCCACCAGCAGCGGCTGCAAACATTTCTATTTGAGCTTCAGCGAAGCTGCAGCAAGGACGTGTCTTCCAATTATTGATCCTCTACAAGTATTCATGGAATTAAGCCACTAAAATATAATCTTATACAATCCATCATAATCAATATGCAAAATCATAATGAATTCTCTGTATTAATGAATCTGTTTTTGAAGGCTGTTTGGTTTGGTGTTTTTTTTCTGGTACACATGTATTTTTTTCCAACAAAATCAGTTTYACTGTCACCTATCCAGGAACTTACATTTTGCAAGACTGTACAAAAAGCAGCGGTTCCAAAGATTTAAGCAAAGGAGTTAAGACTCCTTGAAGTGGTTCATAAAAGCAAACCTTAGATCAATGCAATCTAGGCACTGAATACTACATCAAGTATAGATATTCCAATTTTTAGCACATTCCAGAATCACCAAGGGAGAAACCAATTCTTCCACGTTACTTTTSAGTTTCTAGAGAAAACTTGCAGAAAAATAATTGCTATTACAGCACTTTTAATACTGTCCTTTTGGCATATAATTAATTTCTGTTAACAAGTTGCAGCTCATTTTTTACACGCTCACATGCATTTAAATGGAGAAATTCTGCACAAGCCAACAGCTTTTACAGGCCATTCCCACCAGATAAGGAGACACAGACTGGGAGATGCTTTAGATGCTGTTCTATTCTTTTGTAAGGAATTTGAGCTTCCTCCCAGGTTGAGAAGAATCCAGCAACAGGAACAAGCCCCAGCCTGAGAGAGGGTCCCAGTTTTTTTTTGTCCCAGTCCCCTGCTGGGACTGACAGGGCTGGGCAGGAGGCTCAGGCAGCTCCTGGAATACCTGAGCAGGCAGCAGCTGCTGTGGCTTTTCTGGACTTTCCTTGCCCAAAGGCACAGACAGCACCCTTTTTGTGGGGATACTCCCAGAAAGCACAGYACTGGGTTTGATTTTACTGCTGATAAGTTATTCAGACTGACTCAGAATAAGCCACAAACCTGCGATGATTTAGAAACCAGACTGTCCAGAGTTTTCTTCCTCAATAGAATTCAATAAATTCCAGCTCAAGTTACACAGGGCTCTGGACATCTGAGTTTAACCTCACTAAAAATGCATTTCCTTGGACAGAATTTGGGTAGAGAATAGGTAAACAGTGGGCATAACTCAGGGGAAATAACTCTTGACAATGCAAATGACATTGTCCTACAGAAAGTTACTTTTTTTTTTAGAAAAAAATGTCACATCACTGCCACTTTGATTTATTATTAACAGAAACATGTTAACGTCACAAAAGTATGTTTCAGTTTGTAATTTAAATTAAAAAAAAAAGAATAATTGCCCAATTAAGTTGGAAGTGTTTTATTCTTTGAATCCATCTGCCATGATAWAATGTCAAAAGCACCGGTCAAGACAGAAATAAATAACACGATCTCATGTTAGAGAGAAAGTTGCAAATACAGTATATTAAATTATAGCAATTTGCTGCTTCACACCAAGTGATGCAGACAGCACGAGGGAGACAGTAGTTTTACTCACGATCATTGAAAGATCTATCACCAGAACAGGGGAGCTGCACACCCAACACAAGCCTCATTCTTCCTTTTACCAATTTACTTCATCAATTCAGTGAAGAGTTTGAACTGGCAGTTTTGGTGGTTCAACATCCCCTTTCTCTAGAGGTAACAAGAGTGCTACAAAGCTTTTCATAAGCCCCACAAAAAGCCAAGGCTTTCACGTTTTTGCAGTCTGTGTTTTCAGGTCCATCCCTGAAAATGGTCAGTTTAAAGCCACGTCTCAAGTCCTCTTTAGCACAGAGTAAAGAAACTCGGGGCAGGCAACAGATGCAACTTCAGTATCATAGTGTTTTGAAACTGCATGTCAGGGGCTTGGAGCAGAGCATCTCTGCAGGTCTATGGGGAGCACTTGTATCAGTCAAAAAAATGAAGGAAGTTACAGTCCCTTTGGGGAAAAAAAAAAACCAAACATATAAAAAAGCAGTATTAAAAATATTAAGACAAGGCCTCTAAAATTGCACACCACTTCAGGCCTGAATTAAATTAAGAGTATTCTATTACTTACATGTTGCCCTAATTTCTCTTGTACGGCCTGCAGCAAAGCTTTCCACTGAAAAAAATAGTGAAAACCCCAAATCCTCCACTGAAGGCCTTGTAACATGTCACTTGCATGACATCTCTCTTGGTCAGTAAAAGACCACAAACAGCTCCTCTTCCAGACATTTGAAAGAGAATCTTCTGTCAGGGAAAATGGATGTAATATCTACTGTAGTGTAGCCACTTCTTACACAAAAAACATAACCCATATGGACAAATGCACTATAAAATAAACAGCTTATACAGCAGTTACAGTTTGAAACATCCAAGACCCACTACAGCAGGCCAGAGAGATTCTCTTTTTGGGTTTCTACTCTATTTTTTCAGCTAAACTTCACAGCTGCTTTAATGTAATGTCTGTACTTTAAACTAAAAAAATTATGCATGAAAAAAATATATGATCAACCCCATGAAGGAAAATCATTCCCATGATTACTCAAGCTCAGAAAATTTTTTAATTAACTAAACATGTTAAATTATGCCAGTGATTACATCTTGTTATTTACAAGATCAAGTACCACTGATTCTTAGTAATGGTGCAGTATCTAAATTAAGATCACAGGGGTTGGATTACGTTCTGGTTGCTAAAAGCTTTCTTTTTTAGCTGTCTATCCAGTTCTTTGGAGTTTTTGAGTCTGGAAGAAAGGGCATTCAATCAAACAATTTTGTGTCTCAACGTATTTTACACATAGATCAATTTTTGATATCCAGTCCCACTGACTCAGTAACATGGCTTAAATTTGAAGCCTACAACGATTCTGACATAAGAATATAGAAGACAACACATTTTTGYTCACAGTAACACACTAATTACTGTAGTCACTGGTAAACTTCAATTTTTAATTATTCTTAAGTATGCTATTTCCAAATACCTCTGCATAGAGCGCCAATTTTTTTTTCATGTGGGAGCATCAAATTTCCTGACATTTTCCATATAATCCTTACAAACACCTCACAGGTCACCAAACTTGTACTTTGAAGAATTCTACAGAAACATTGCACAGACGTTGCACCACAAGGGCTCGTACAAAGGCAGCTTTCTGGAGTGCAGGTCCATCCATTCACATTGGGAAAAAAGTTCACAGAAACTCCAAAAATGAGAAAATGAAGCGAAACCTAGTGTGACTTTACACCAATAAGAACAACAATGAGGACAATTACTATAACAAACAAAATTAAAATAACAAGCATCTTCCGATTCTTCTTTTGATATTGCTCTGCCTATAAAACAGAAAAGAAAGAGTTAATAATTAAGATTTCAACAATGCTAAAGCACAGACTCTTGTTTAGTGTAAGTGAAGTCCATCTGTTTCAAATTGTTCTTTGGTAACTTGACATTTCATACAATGAATACTGCAGGCAATTCCCACATAGTAACTCTGATCTGCACCATAAACTCCAGTGAAGGTAAATATGCACTGAGGTCAACATTTCCCTGTCTTAAAGAGCAGGCTCACCTTGCTAAGACTCATGTATTACATTTGAAGGACACTAAAAATCACCCCAGAACTTCCTTTTTTAATAGGCATATCTGTTGTATTTGATCAGCTGTGCATTTTCATTTAATTTTAATTTGAACTGAAAGCTTTTATTTTTGAGTTGGTTCTCTAGTTTTCTGCTTCATTCCTTTTTTCTTTTAACACTGTTTTTTCACCCCTCTCCTCCTTTTCCCAGAAGAATTAAAAGGACACAACATGGAGAAAAACTCTCCAAAAGCCAAATGGAAGTCTGCTAATAGAAGTTTAACAAAACAAAACTTCTTTTTGTTTTTAATTAATAAAAGCTCAAACTAAACCAAAGCAAAATGCCCACAACACTCTTGATCTGCTGAGATCAGTGCTTTTAAAACTTTTCAGGTGTYCATAGCAAAAGCTTCACATTAAGCAAGAGGTTGGACCTGACATGTAACCAGTGTCAGATGGTAAAAGAAAATATTAATAATTATTGTTTCTGCTCACATGATTGAGATAATGTTTTCAAATTAAAATCTGCAGTGAGGTACCCAATAACCAGCCCTATTTCCCAAGTGCCTGGCTCTCCAAACAGAGAAGGAATTGCAGACAGGTCCCATCAGGTCAGCAATATAAATATCAAAGCACATTGGTTGGATGCCCAGAAAGTCATTTAAGAAATTAACTCGAGGCATCAAGCATGACATTAACAGAAGTTCTATGGAAAGCTCCTCCTACAGTACAGCTGGACATTTCATACTGTACAGAAATAATTTCTAAAAGGGACGATGTCCAACTGAAAATTGACTGAATAACTTCATAGCTATTTAATTATAAAAGATTAGTAGATATGCAAAACAGCTGAAGTRTTCCATCAGCTTACCTTATGCAGTTGTTTTAGACCCTCTTCAGTTTTCATACATGACTGTTCAATATTATAGTCAATTCTATCTAGAACTGTTCCCTAAACAGAATGRAGAAAACAAGCACCAAATTGAACCTAAATGAACTTCATAAAGCARTTATTATTATAAGCAGCAGAGTAACAACATTCACAGCAAATAGCTCATGAACTATGTAAACAATGAATTTCTACAGAAGAATCAGTTGAAATTTCATTAAACAACTTCTCTGCTCAGTGCCCAATGGCAGCTCTGTCACCATTTCACATCACATCCCTATAAYCATCTTAATTCCAGACCAGGTGCTTTTTTCTGACATATTTAACATAAACTGACTCTCTGGGAGAAACAACCACAAGAACTTTGGCTTTCTATGGTCTTTTTATTTTGTATATTTTTACTCGAACATGCATTACCAGTTGAATTTTTATTCTGTTATTTTCATCAACTCAGTTTGTGGCATATTTCAAGCAGAGGAAACCTGAGTATGAAGAGTTAAGTTAGGAAAARTGAGTCTGGAAGCCTTCACACTACATGGAACATCCCAGTTCTTCCTAGCACTGTGCTGTCAATGTACCTGTTCTACTATCATTGCTCCCAGGTCCCTAAATATTTCGTTGAGATCGGAGATTGACTGCACAATCTGKCGGATTTCTCGTTCCCTCTCTTCCACCATCAGTGTGTTCTGCTCCACCAATGCCAGCTGGTCATCAGTAAAACCCTGTTGAAAGACAAGATTTACATGTTGAACTAATATTAACAGCACCAAAAYGTTTGAAATTATTAAAAGGATAACAAGATTTGATAACTGGGACAGGTATTTATAACCTGAGAAAATGCAATTCATATTGAATCTGTGTAATAACAACTTACTCTATCATAAAGGGTATCATCCTCCCCATCATCCATCAGTGGGACTGAGGTGTCAAAGAAGTGTTTAGACCTTTCTTCTCTATTCTTCATACCTGTAAAACACAGACTACATTTGAGCATAATATTTAAGCRCACTATAACCYGAGTAAGSTCTGAAGCACCAGACAGAAAAGCACAAAATAGAAATCCTGGCTAGTAAATTACATAAATCACAATATTTAAACTGTCAGGCTTACTATTTTAAAAAAGCATAACAAATTCAACCAGAGACTGATTAAATCAGTGATTTTTCAGTTGCTATGTTCCATGAAGTTAAAAAAATAGGTAAGTTAAGAGCCTTAAAGTGTGATCACTCCAAGATATTTTGTAACAAATTCTCTTAGGAACATTCCTTGCCTGAACTGGATCTTCAGTTCACCTGTGTCATTTATACCACAGGAGGAAGAAATATCAATGTAAAATTTGAAAAACAACTTTTTGTGGGTTTCTTTCAAGATTAAAATAATCTGACTCAGCTTAAAACAGTACTGAACAAAATTTTAGAGTTTTGAACAGAGGTTGTTCCACTTTCGATCTGTTTATGGATGCAGAATTTTTCTTTATCACGACTACCTTTTATCTATCACAGCCTGCCACCTACAGCAGGTATCATGGCTGAAAACCAAAGACTGCTTCACCAGTGTAACAGAAGCAGCTTTGCAAACCACATTTTGAGAAGCAAAATGCATTAAAAATGTGGACGGATGAAATACCCTGTTTTGCTGATACACTTGACTATGACATTTCTTCTTTAGCAACATTAAAAATAAGGTTTGAACATGGGCTGTGAACCAGAAACTCTCACATTCTAACCTCTGATTAGTCCTGTGTGCATCACTTAACCCTTCTGGGCTTCAAGTTTTCCCAGCCAAGACAATAAGCACAGCTCACTGAGTGGATTCCATATTTTTTCATCCCATGCCATTACCATACATCTCTTATGCTTACGTTTGAGATAGTCAGACTGTGCATGCCTAAAGTTGGTGGAGAGGTCCTGAAGGGACTGTGCTAAGGAAGACACTACATTCCTGAGAACACGTGCTTCTTGTTCTGTACAGCTACGTGACCTGCTCTGCAACACCTGGACTGCTCTCTGACATCTGTGGAATAACTGAGAAAACAATTCCATTAGTGGAAAAGGATACATTAAATGYAAAAACACACACTTAAATGTCACATTACAAAGTGCCACACTGAAGACTAGTATTTTGATTTGTACATTTTTTTGAATTATTTTTTTTACTGCCTTGTGCAATGTTTAAAAATATATGGAAGCAGAACATAAATGAACTTAAAGTTAATAARGTAGCAGAGTAACACAACTACCTATCATCAGAGACATTTGCCTCTTTATAATTAGGTCGACTACAAGCCTTAGAATGGATATCTGAATTTCTCTGAGATATCTGTAAATTTGATTTGATTAATCTCCCAATCCTATTCTATTGCTTTTGGAAAAGCAAACAGGTAAGGGAAAGAACAGGGAGGTTTTGTGACTTGCGGGAAGTTCAGAGCAGAGCCCAGGACTTCGGGCTCACTCTAACACTGATCACAAAACAAACGCTTTCCTCAAAGCAAACCACTGCCTTGTCCTAGTGCATTAAAGATGTGCCAAACTGGAGGTTTAGTACCCAAAGCAGTCTGTACCTGTGTGATCTCTTGGGTTGTTATTTCTATTGCCCGTTCCTCTTCACTGCTGTCATCCAGTGTGGGTCTATTTAGATGTTTATCATGAAGACTGGCTAATTCTTTCATCTTCTGTTTAACCCTGGCAATATCATACTGAATCTAAAACAGAAAGCCAACAGGAAGAAAGGGAATTAACTCATGTTTCAGGGGAAAAGGTTCTGACAAATGTTAGACAGAAATCATTAACAGAAATCTGTACATAAAAGGCAAACCAAGTATCATTAAAAGCCACATAAAAAGCTGACTAAGAACTGAATACTCTTAATAGACTTTGAGTTTGCTGCTTTTTTGAGTTTGCTGCTTAACTGACTCGTTAATCTTAGGCAAGACTGCTGTTTTCAAATCTGCTTCATTAAGTTGGAATAATATTTTGATTATTATACAGTATCATAGCAAGAAGATTTAGCCAACTTCCAAAAACATAAATGGAAACTCAGGTCACATCTTCAACTYTGTCAAACATTGAATGGCCTTAACTCAACAGCAGAAGTTAAGTGCCATGCTTTCAACCAAGTAATCAAAAATAACCTGTAAGGATGATTATTATAGCAGTTAAAAGGGATCTGAACATCTTTCTGCTGAACAATGGGTTCTGGACACACAGACTGATAAGTCAACATGTGYTCTGAGTGTACATCCAAGAAAAAGGATTTTCAGAAAGTCAAGAATAGATTCACTCTCCAAATACTGAGAAAAGATTTAACTTGCTGCCTCTGCCTCCAGAATCATTCCCTTGCATTTGTCCAAATATTTCTGTGACTTGCAAGGCATCGAGGCTGCAGAGGCAGGAAAATCCTTCTGCTACAAGAAACTCATGTTTCCTGTTTTCAAACACTGAACTGCTTTCTCCATCATTTTAGAGTCTATTTGACCGGACTCCTCATCAAGCTCAAACAAAAATTCAAACTAAATCTCTTCTGTTAATCTTCCCTCTAATACTATTTTTGTCACCAAACTGACAGAATGGAAGTGACAACACTAATAAATCCCTCCATGGGAGGTCCAGCTTGTGCTGGATGTGTCCCAGCASAGCACTTACTTCATCTGCTCCATCGACCCATTTGGGAGGTAAGCGCTTTGTCACTCCGATGGCYGCCTCGGGATCTAAGCTGATTCCCGACACCAGGGCCATGCGATCATCAGCCAGCTGCACAAGGGGAAAAAAGACAGCAAATTAGTTTTGTTCTAATTARATCCAAATCCCTGAGCATCAGAAAAAGTGCTTGTTTGCCTTCCCATAGAAATTAACTTCAGAGATGTGTTTGCTCATGATGTGAGTATGATCAAACATCACATCTCCTGGTTTGTCCCTCTGTGCTAATGACTGATATCCTGCCACTTCCTACAGGATCTGAAAGGTTAAAGATACTCTTACAACAAATTCTTAGCAGATTTTCCAGGAGGAAAAATGGCATTGCAGAGAGAATTCAAGTAACTCTCATGCTGGTACATTTCTATCAGACAGTAAATCACAGCCAATGGGGCAGCACAGTTCACATCAGGCCTTGCAAGTTTGAAAACTGCATTTGGGAAAAATCTCAGAAAAAAACATTATAACTGCTCGTTCTCAAACAATGTTACTTTGAAGAACAAACACACTTGCAAATTGACATTCAACTCAAGTGGCTAAATAACTTAGTGATAATTAAAATGTGCTAAACACAAATAGCCAAGGCAGTACGGAGATGATCATGAGTGATACCACTTGAAGCATAACWGATGACTTGGGAAAGGTTTCACCTTCCTTCCTGATTTCTCCCAAATTTCTAATTTTCCTTTATCAGGCCTGGAAAGTTTTGTCATTCTCTTCCCCACTCTTTTTTAAGAAACAACCCTTGTTGCTTCCTGAGCAGCCCTTTCTTGAAAGCAATTTCTTTATTCCTGACCTTATTTCCTGATCAATAAAGTTTGCATAATTTATGCACAGCATGAAAAATAGTTAATGGCTTGATTGTGCAAAGTCATCCTACCCTATGTGTGCATAGTAAATGAGACTAGTTAATACATTTATCTATTCACAATATATTATATCACAAAATGCTTGATTTYTCTATGCAGCCTGTCCTTCTACTGTGCACAGACACTTCATCCTATAATGAAATTCAATAAGCTAGCAGAATAAAGAAAGAATATTTTAGCTCAGTGATGTTAGCTTGATGCACCATGGCAGAATAAAATGTGAAAAACAATACCTCATCCAGCTCCTGAAGTGATTTGTGGATCCCATCAGCCCCATCCAGTTAGAGACAGCAAAAGACAAAAGGGAAAAAAGAGACATAGGACAGATATAGGGCATGGTCAGTTGAGAAAATACTGATTTATTTTTAAAGCATGATGGTTTACCAAGAACAAACAAACTTTTTAAAGACATGGTTAATCAATAAATACATCATGATATTGCATTTTAAGTCAGCATTTTTCTTAATGCAGCAACTTTTAAAAGAAATATTTCAGTTCCTTGGTAAACAGTAAGAACATAAGAGATCAAGTGCAGAGCTTGGTTTGTTTTACAAAGTAATTGCACAGTGAAGTTTCTAAATACTGAAATGTCAGGGAGAAAACCTGCAATAGAATACACTGAGGTATGAGAGCAAGGGCAGCCTGACTGCAGCATTCAGCATCCACTGGGTTTGGTTATGATTGGAGGGGGCTCAGAGAAGCTTTTATAAGACATTGTGACAAGGACCCCCGTTCTCACAGGATAAAAGGCAGCAAAAGACACAAAGCAAAAGCAGATATTCAGTCACTTCTGTACACACTTGAGCTGTGCTCTACTTTCAGGGAACAGTAACCCTGCAGGGATCTGAAAAAATACACAAGGCAGCATATCTGCACCTTCATCAGTCCTTGCACTGTGAGGGGATGTGTGAGYCAAAGGATATTTCACTCAAACACTAACAAAGTCAGACCTAAAACTGGACAAAATACTTTTGGTTTAACAAAGAAGCATCAACTGATGATCTCTTATGAGATTCCCCAGGCTTYTGAATCAGGACTGTACTGTTCAGGTCCTGCTTTGATTGTCTGACTTTAGAATGCAATTCTTGACAGAGTTCTCACAGCAAAGGATTTCTTGAGSAGAAAGCTGGAGGTGAACTAAGGGAAGCTGAAGTCCTACAGGTTAGAATTTGTAATCCTGCCCTGCTGGCACAGAGCAGCTGCTCTGGGAGCACCACTCAGAAGGAAACCCACAATTCTGACAGTGACAGGCATCTCAAACCATGAAAGGCAAGCAGCTCACATTGTCATCTTTACTTTTTTTTTTTTTTGTAACAGTTCACTTGTAGCAACTACAGAACTCTGAACTGCCCAYCAGGGCCAAAACTGAGCTTCTGACTCCCTTCACCCATCACACAGATGAGCAATTCAGTCACTGAGAGCCTCCACTGCATTTGAATGAGCAGCCCTGCAAAAACCTTCAATTAATGATAACAAACACTGTCAATAAATATTTGATGCAGATGCTAAGTGTTATTGCACTGGCTGCTGAGTAAAGTGCAGTTTCACTGCTCAGGAGTAGATAGTTTCAATTTTCTAGGTGCTATTTTAATACACYCAAGGATGTGCAGAAGTGACATTGATATGGCAAAAAAAAATTAATAAAATTAACAAGGACTAAATACACAGAGCCAAAATACACATCTATAATACAAATTACTATTGACATTCCCTGTTCTGCAAATGCAATTTAATACACAGTTATTAGACATAGGTGTGATAAAGTTAGCAATGAACTAAAACCATTGACACAACAGGAAGCGCTGTTTTTCCTACAAAAAATGCATTAATGTAAAAAAATTCAGAATGATGAGACTGCCAGCAGGTATTTACTGACGGTTATGACAAATAAATGATAAGTTTAAACAGCAAGTGTGAAAACCTGAGCAGAGCTGAGCTGCCAAGCAGCCCATCACAGCCTGAATAGCTCAAAACCTAGAAAAAGCTACAGAAACTGCCTCTGAACCAGGAACTTTTGGTACTTTGTGTAAAGAGGAGTTAAATTAGAATCTACTGACTCCCCTCTCTCACATATCAGTTTATGTGTACTTCGGGATAAATAAATAGGGCAATGACCATCAGAGCAAGTTATGGAGWAATTTAAGCAATGGGAATAAACTCCACCGGTGTATTTAACAGTGCCCACAGTGAGGTGAATAGAAGAGTTCTGCTTAATAAATTTATTTATTTTCGATAAAGAGACATCAAAAAACTCATGTTAATGCTAACATGAAGCTGTTAGACCTGTAACTAATTTATTACGCACGAAGCGAATAGAGATGCGATCAGCACACACAGATCTCTTCTATTCGTTTTACGTGAAGGACTGGGAAAATAGGAATCAACAGGGTGGGGAGGGAGGGGCAGAGGGAGGAAGGTCGGGGGACGGGRAGGTTTTGAGGAGAGGGTTCAGAGGAACGGGGAAGCGGGGCGGGTGAGGGGCCGGGGCAGGGCGGGGCACGGCACGGCCGCCCCGCAGCCCGGGGCGCGGCGAGTACAGAAGGATGAAGGGAGGAGACTCACCGCAGCAGCCATGCTACGTGAATTCAGAGGGCTGGAGGAGCCGAAACTACTCACTTGCTCGGCCAGCAGCTGCCGGCTCTGCACCGCGTTGTTCCGCAACAACAAGAACGCGTCCGTGAGACGCCGGGTGGCCATGGCCCCCCCGCCGCCGGGCCGGCGGCCCGAGCCCAGCCCGGGACCCGCGGCACACGCGGCGGCCGCCCCTCGGAGGGTCGGGGCGGAGACCCGTCAGAGGGCCGTGAGCGGGAGCCCTCAGAGGGCCGGGGCCGGGACGCCCCTCGCCGGGAGCGGGACCCTCCAGCCCGGGCCCCCGCGGCCGCCGGGCGCCGCCATCGCCCCGGCACCGGCACTTCCGCGTTGTGCACCGCGC